CACTGTTAATAAGAAAGAAGAAAAGGAAGAAGGAACCTCCAGGTCCAGCTTACCGCCCTCTGGGTAGTGGGAGGGGAGGAGACCACCCCAGCCACCCAGGTCCCCGACCAGAAGGGCACTGACAGATTCGCCCTCGGCCCACACACCAGCCTACCCCAGGCGAGGACCTGACTCACACTTCCAAGGTAAAGTGGTGAAAACACCCACCCTGCTGGAGCCTGGCTCCCCAGCATCTGCCCAGGGTATCCCCAGAGCACCTGGCTCCTCTGTCCTCCCCTCCCACCCTCAGCAAAGACCGGGCCTGGCCTGGGCAGGAGTGGGGCAGAGGCCAGTGAGAAAGCCCATTTCTATCACACCGACCTTTTCTATTTTTCTATTTATTTCCCGGGGTGTGACCCAGGATTTCGTGCATGCCAGGCACGCACTTGCCACTGAGCGGCACCCAGCCCTCACACGTCATCTGCTAATGCCAGACACAAGAGCCAGACTCCTGAGAGTGGCTTCTGCCCCCACCTGAGCCGCAGCCTCAGCCCCACTTCCCTGTAGCGCTCAGAGGCTGGGCAGACCTGCGAGGCTGGGGCGGCGGGGGTGTCGCCAGGCTGTAGTAACCGAGTGCCCGGCCCCTGCTCCCTCCTCACAGTTCTGGGGACCACTGAGGCACACCCTGACTCAGTGTGCCGGGAAAGCTAGGTCTCCACAGCCCAGCTTTCAAGGCAGGCGGCCGCCACTGGACCACAGTTTCTCACACACCTCCGGGCTGCCTGGGTCCTCCCTGTCCCTTCCCTTCCCCTGGGCACCGCCATGGCCGCAGGGCCAAGGTCCCTGCCATCTGCGACCTGCAACTCCTAAGCTGGTCCTCAGCTCTGCAGACCCAACGCTCCTGCCCCATCACACACACACGCGCGCGCACGCACACACACACACACACACACACACACGGGCCGTCTGAGACCACATCACGTCTCCAGGGACTGCTGCTGTGGAAGGGACGAGACAGGGCTTCTTGGCACCTGCATACCCGGGCTCCATCCCTTGAGAACAGAGCCAGACCACGTGGGTCACCCCACTGCATCCCGGAGACCCCCGCGATGGCAGGCAAGCAGCACCTCAGCCGACATGGACCTGTGCAGTCCCCTGGGATAGTCCCTCCATCCAGCCCTCCAGAAAGTGCCACCGGGCTGGTCCTGATGTGGGATACCTGGCACCTGACTGCCTGGCAAAGGGTGCAACCCAAGACCAGGAGAGGGGCTCTGGCCTGCAGAGCGCCCACCCCCGGTGAATCCACTTCCCCGCACACACGGGGACATCTCCCTCAGGACCCTGCTCGGGGCAGCTTGGAGTGACCTGGTCATGCTGGCATCACTGCTGCAGTGCACATCCCACTTCCACCTCGGAGCTCGGGGACAGTGCCCTCCTGGGGGCCGTGGGGCGGAAGACACTGCCACTAAAAAGGGAAGTGTGGAGCCGGGCACAGCGGCACAGCCCTGCAATCCCAGCACTCCGGAGGCCGAAGCCGGTGATGGCAAGTGGAGCCCAGCCTGGGCCACTGAGCAGCTTGGCGAGGCCCTGTCTCATAACGAAAGAAGGGGCTGGGGACGCGACTTAGGGAAAAAGGGACTGGGTTCCATCTCCAGTACTTAAAACAGAAAAAGTTCACAAGAAAACAAACACGGCTTATCTGGCATGGGAGGGAGAAAGAAGACGGTCACGTGAGCATTGTGACAGGGAGGATGGGGTCAGAGGAGCGGCTGTGGTGCCCCTGCCACAAAAAGAAAACAGGAAGTTGTTCACACGCATTTCTTCTACACAAGTTGAGTGCTCCTGCGGATGTCACCTGGACTCCAGGGCTGTTCCTCCCAAGGACTCGTGGCAAGTCAAAAAGGAGGATGTAAGCAGCAGAAGCCTCCGTGACAGGCCACGTCACTCCGAGACAGGGCCCCAGGACTCAATTCACCATCAGGCACCCCTCATCCGGACAGCACTGTCGGCAAGCAACAGGGTGCCCCTGTACGGCTGCCAGTCACTGCACCTGCAGCTCAGAGGTCACTGGGGCACTGCTCCAAGTGCCACAGAGCTCTGTGGCCAACTGGAGATGACATCACACACAGCCCAGCTGTGGGATTCCCAGGGCGAGAAGACCAAGGAGAGAACGCCGTGACTCAGGTCACAAAGGCACAAGTCACAGGGGCAGCCCCGGAGCCAGCGCCCCGGAGAGGCCGCCCCAGCAGGCAGGCAGGCAGGCAGGCGCGGTGCTAATCAAGTCGGCGTCCACCAGCCACACCAGGCAGGGCCACGGTCCCGAGCCCGGCCATGCTGCGTGTCTGGCTGTGTGCAGGCTTGTTTTTCAAGTTGGCTGGTGCTCCCCGCAGGCCTCCCCGTGGCAGCAGTGTCACAATCCTGGTGTGATGTCGAAACTGCTTGGAGGGCAATGAACTCTGGCCTCGGATGAGTCAACAGAGGGGCGGCTCTCCTCGCGCACTGTTTACACACTGCGTAAAACTGGCCACGGCCGCGGCCAGATGCACGGTCAAGGGTCACAGTGCCCGGCGGGCTGGGCCCCAGCTTGCACTCACCCTGTCCACCTCCCAGCCTGGACCGGACCTGCGTTTTCAAGCCCCGTGGAATCGGTGCAGCCCATGAAGGACCCCCCAGTGCCCACCAGGAAACATGCGAGCTGAGGAGAGGCGCAGGCTGCCACGTCCCGGCCTGATGCCCGGCCAGGAGGTCTTCCACAGTGACACAGCCCTCACCTGCCATGGGCTGATGGGGACCGCAGGGCCTGCCTGGGGCAGCATAGCCCCGGAGGGGACACGCTTACCGCCGAAGGTGGTTGCCCATCACCTCTCGGCCTTCTTGGGGAGAGGGCACAGCGTGGACAGCCCTGACTGCAGGAATGTGTCACACAGTCTGGGGCAGAGTACCGAGGTTTTACTGGTTCTTGGGCCTGCAGCACGACCCCCTTTCAGAGCTGGGTCCTGCCACATGCAGTCCCCCAACAAAATGGGGCACTTGGGGGGGAGTCTAGGACAGTGAGGGTGGTGACACTGCCTCAAGCCTCAACTGTCCCTCTCGTAAGCCTTCTCCCCACACTACGAAGGGGCCACACGCCTGGGGAGGGATTCCCAGGGCCACGCGGCTGGCCACCTGGGAAGGGGTGCGGGGGGGAGGTGATCCTGGCACTGTGGACAGAGCTCAGGCTAAACCCACTGCTGCCGTCCGCATCCAGGTTGCTATCTACACAGCTGCACACCGCTCTGCATGCCACAGCAGTCACAGGACCAGGGCACCTGGCCCCTTCATGCCCGGACAGCACCCTGCAGGCCCTCTCCACATCACCCCACCTAGTCTGTGCACGGAGACCACAGGGCTGTCGCCTCCCAGCAGCACCCACGGGACACCCACCAACCTGCATCTCACTGTCACCTCCCCCTTTCATGCCTTTTCCAGCACTGACCCTCGGAGCCCACCGAACTCCAAGACGAAACAGCCCATGCCGGGGAGTCAAGTATCCTGACTGGGCGACTTCTTCGGGAGGTCAGGGGACACTTCCCCAAGCAGGAGAGTGACACTGCCCTGCGAACCCAGAGGGGTGGCGCCCCACATGCAGTGCACACCACTTCACCTGGACCTGGCCACCCCAGCGTCCACCTCAGGGGCAGCTCAAAAGTCTGGAGCCACCATGGCTCCCAAGAGTCACAGAAAAGTGCCACAGAGAGGGCATTCCATCCCAACACCTGTCCTCACCCGAACTCATAAAAGCATCTTCGCAATTAAAATACTACAAAAAGCCAAGCACAGTGGCACACACCTGTAAACAGCACTCTGGGAAGCACTACATAGGAGCACCGCAAGCTCAGGTCTCACCTGGGCAACACAGTAAGACTATATATTTATTTGGGTTTTTTGTTGTTGTTTGTTTATTTGTTTTTTGAGACAGGGTCTCACTATGTCGTTGAGACTGACCTGGAACTCACTGTGTAGCCCAGGCCGGTCTCGAACTCACAGCGATCCTCCCAGCTAAGACTATACATTTACACGTATGTATACGGGATGGGGAGAGAGAGGGAGGGAGCCAGGGAGAGAGAGATGACTCCATCCACTGTGTCAGAAAACAGAAAATTGGCTGCTGGTTGGCAGAACCGGGCACACGAGGTTTTGCTAACAGCCAATGCACTTCTCTGGTCAGTCAAGTGCTTCCAGTGCTCTTAATGCCCACCACCCAAAACCCTGCTGCTTTAGGGCTCATCCTGCCATGGGTCTCGGTTCAGCAGACAGCACTGCTCTCTAGGCAAGACTAAGTACCAAATGCCATGCACTCCGAGGACCGAGCGGACAGCTCTTGAAAAACACACCAGTCTGGATGGCCCCAAGACATAAGCCAGCCAGCCAGGCTGCCGGGGCGGCTTGGAGCCTCTCCTTTGAGGGAGCTCCTCCCGCATGGGTGAAGCGCTGCTGTCCACAGCCTGGCTCTGGAAGGGACATGCTCAAGTCTGGTGCCACCTTCACCCTACACGAGGAAGAGCCAGCTTACTGAGGGGATGTAACCCACACCCGAAATTAAAAATAGCAGCATGATGATGGCAGGAGGTGGCCGCACAGACAGGCCTTCCGGACCGGACCGGGGTGAGGGAGGGCACTCTGGGGAGGAGGGCGGGGCTCCTGGTCCCAGCTCAGAAGACGCAGCCAGGTACAGAGCTCACCTTATTTACGCCACAGGCACGCTCACCGGGGCTATTTCTGGGAAGGCCGCCTTCCATCAGCATAAGTCAGAATCGCCCAGGGGAAACAACTCCAGGCTGGACTTCCACCAGGAAGAGCGGCTTGGGCTGGTCACCGGACAGTGGCCACCACCCTCTTCACCACCCGCCCCAGGTCTCCTTCGCCTGCTCCTCCTCACCTGCAGGGGCGCCTTAGCCTCATCTGACAAGAAGAGAAATGGCTCTTCCAAAAAAGATGAACTCCCCTCTGCGAAGGGGAAAACTTGAGACACCAGGAAGGAAAGGAAACTGCCCAAAGAAGAGAAGCCTGGGAGGAGTGGGCCAGGGGAACACAAATCAGGAGGAATTCCCGGCTGAGCTAATGGTGCTGAACAAGTCCGGGGCAGGAAGAAAGCCACATTCCTTCCGAGTTACTACTCTGCTCACCCGCCCCTGTCCCCCCATTGCCAGCACGCACACACAGGGCCTGCCTGAGCCACCTACCGATTATGGAGCCCCACTTTCCAGGAAAGGAGGCACAGGGCTCCCAAACCACTACTTCCTCTCGGGTCCTGACCTCGGGGGATGGGCAACTTCTGTCCCGGCAGACTGGCCGGTGCCATGACACAAACAGATATGGGAAGATGCAGGGTTCTGATCACAGCTCCAGATGTGCCCGAAAGTTAGGCCGGAAAGGGGATGCAGACGGTCTCCCCACCCTTCTCCGCAGCCAGGTGGGCAGAACTGAAAGGCCTCAAAGTTCCCCAGATGTGCCCAAAACAGCCCAAGAAGTCAGAGTCGGCCAGCAGGTGTGCTGGCCAGAGCTACAGAAGGGTCCACAGTGGGCTCCCAGCCTGAGAAAAGCACCCCGGGTCGGTGATTCCCCCACACGCAGGTGCCTTCCCAAACGTCATGGCCTACTCCCCTCAAACACTTCCTCTCCCCAGCGATGTTCAGGGAGATAGGGTCATGTGGAGGGGGGACAGCTGTCAGTTTGTGCCCGATCCACCCCTTCCGAGAATCAACAGTGGACCCAACTGAGGATTCGTTCTCCCGGAAAGCCTCACACATCCAGATGCAGACTCAAGACTTCTGGACCCCCCAGGTGCCCCAACAGCAGTGCCCCCAAACTGTAGGGACCAGGACATTAAAGCGGCTTCCCAGAACACAGACACCGTCAACCCATCTTCCCGTCCAAGTGCCCCCACTCGACACCCTCCCAGCACGACGCTGTCCCCGCCCCGCCAGGTGTTCAAGGACCCTGACCAGGTGCCGGGCCACACAGCAGGGGCCCGGCGCCCCCAGTGCCACCTCGACGCCCCAGGCTCGCGC